AGGCTCCTTCCTTTTGCCCTCCTTTGTGTATGCTGTACCCCTTATCTTAAGGGTTTCACCCCATTTGAAATCATGTTTGGCCGACCTCCCCCTATTCTACCCAAAATTGGGGACGAGGTCTTAGCCAACCTGAGTAACCATTGTCAGCTCTTTGCAGGCAATCTAGAGACTGAGAAAACAGACCCGACAGCTAATCAAGGATACCAGACCCCAAATGGGGACACCCCAGGTACCACCGCACGACTTCGCCCCTGGTGACTGGGTCTGGGTCAAGAAACATCAGCCTGCTTCCCTCAAGCCTCGCTGGACTGGCCCTTTTCCTGTTATCCTGACTACGCCCACTGCTCTGAAGGTAGCAGGACGAAAATTTTGGATTCACCACACTCAGGTAAAGAAAACACACCCTGAGCAAATACCTGAACAATGGGCCTTACAGCGGACAGAGGATCCCCTGAAGATAAAGCTCTCCAGGGTTTCCTCTTAGTCTCTTTCCTGACTCTGATCGCCAGTAAGGCACCTACCCAATTTAGATGCACTCAAGGGTAGCCACTGCTATGAAGTTTCGGGCCCCCGCCTGACCCTCGGAGACCTACAAGGACAGGGGACATGCTTCATCATCGGCAACTATGACCTAAGCTCTTCCCCTTATGTGGACTCATGCGGGGACACTACCACCCTAACCCCATTAAGCCCCTCATCACAAGAGACTTGGGTCCTAACTGCACCCCCCAGGACTTGGTTTGCTTGCGCCTCAGTACTTACTCCCTATGTCTTTCCCGTTGAAACCAAAGACTTATGTATTCTTGCTAACATTATTCCACAGGTTTATTTCTTCTCTGTTTAGCCTTAGGAGAAACCTGTTGCTTTTATGCTAACCACTCTGGTGTTATTAGGGAAAGCTTAAGCCTGGTCAGACAGCGCTGAGCAAATGAGAAAAAGCTCAATCAGCATCAGCCTCCAAGAATTAGTATGAGGACTTATTCAGTTGGTCCCCATAGCTCACTACCCTTATCACTAGCCTTGTGGGCCCCTTAATCCTCCTCCTATTAACATTAGCTTGTGGCCCAATCCTGATTAATCGCTTGATGCAATTTTTTAGAGAAAGAATACAGGCTGTTAAGCTCGTGGTCCTTAGCACTCCCTATCAAAGGCTAGCCACAATAGAAGAAATTAAAGACACCTTAAAATCAAGGATTTGATTTAACCCTAAGACCAGTGGGGAATGTAAAGGACAAACACATGCTATGTGAACGTACAGTATAATTTTTCCCATTAGGCAGACCTTGCCCCCTGGACTTTAAAAGAATAGCAAGAACTAGCTGCTAGAGTTAATAGATAACCACTGCATTGTATAGATAACCATTGCTTTGTGTACACCGAAACTGCTCGCTCCTTCAGGCATAACAGCTAACCGCAGATATCTGCTTCTGTACATGCTTGCTTGCTTGCAAACCCTTAGCCCAAATTCCTTAACAGAGGCTAAGACAACTATATAAGCAACCCTCCCCCTGAGCTCGGAGCTGCTCTCTCCTCTGTGTAGGATGGGACAGTCGCCGCATGGCTAATAAAGCTCTCTTAATTTGAACCCAGTTTGGAGTCTGAGTCTGGTCTGTCTCGTTGGTCTATAACATAACTAGAATCTGAGTATTGGTCATATAGAACACCAAGAAACATCTTAGGTAAGGTCCATAAAACCTCAATGGACCTAGCAAGCTGATGCCCTACTCTGCCAATCAGGCCTCATTCTTTCTGGACACAGTTTATAAACAAAGAGGCATCCAGGTCATACAAAATGATCAACTTAAAAATTACCCTGCTAGGAGGTGGCCAATCGATGTTTCTCTCTCTTTCTCTCTCCCTCCCTCTTCCCCTCTCACTGAAATCAATATAGAAAAAATTAAAAAAAAAAATTACAAGGGTCGCCTAAGACCATCTGAAAACACATATTTCCAATGGTCTTAGAAACCGAGACACTGCTCCTCTGTCTCCAGGCAGGTCTGCCCACGTGCAGATCCACCCACATACAACATGAGAAACTGTATTAAAGGGTCGCAGCATTAGGAAGGTTGAGAACCTCTGACCTAGAGGAAATTTTGGATTTAAATAGAAAATTTTCTTGTTGGTCCTCCAGAATTTTGTAAGTCAGAAAATATAAAATTTAATAAAAAGTATGTTTCATTTAAGTAAAATTGATAGGAGAAGGGCTTGTAATAGGAACAGGACCATTTTTTTTAATGATTATTCTCCTTACTAACTATAATTAAGAGGTTTTCTTACAGACCCTGGGAAACTGGAGGATGTGTTGCAAGAAGAAAAACAGGTTTGTATTAAGACACCCATGGAGCCCAGATGGGTCCATTACTCAGAAAATACATTTTGAGAGCAGACCAATGACAGGACACACCTGAACTTGGTAGCTGGACCCTGACCTGCTTTGGGAGTTTGCCTCAGGAATCCTGTCCATTCTCCAGTCCCAGGAATGGGATGAGCTGTTTTTAAGATCTTAGAAAATTAACTTCCATTTTATTGGACTTTAAGATCCTGGAAGGAGCCCTGGCCGGTTTGGCTCAGCGGTTGGAGCATCAGCCTGCGGTCCGGAGAGACCCGGGTTCGGTTCCCGCTAAGGGCATGTACCTCGGTTGCAGTTTGTCCCCAGCCCTGGTTGGTCATGCGGGTGGCAGCCACTCGATGTGTCCCTTTCACATCGATGTTTCCCTCTCTCTCTCTCTTCCGCTCTCTCCCTCCCACTCTATCTGTGCAAAAAATGGAAAAATGTCCTCAGGTGAGGATTTAAATAAATAAATAAATAAATAAATAAATAAATAAATAACACAGCCAAGAATAGGACAAAGAAATTCATTCAATAGGAGAATATTAGATATCAGAGCAGAAAATTATATAAAAAAAAAAAAAAGATCCTGGAAGGAGATACACAGACCACAGAACCTGCAGCCCTTATTTTGACCTCCTTTCTCCCTTGCACATAGCCTTTCTTCCTTATCACTATATAATCAGCTAGCTAGATGTTAGAGTAGAATTTTCTGGATGACCTGCTCTCTCCATATTGCCAGCATTATTGAAATAAACACTCATATATGATTCAACCCTCTCTCTGCTTAATTTGGCTCAAGTAGCGACAGGTGGCCCCAGACACATTTAGTGTCCAGTATCAGAAATAGTCATGATCTGAAAAGGTCAAGAAATCATGCTTACAGGGAAACACCCTTTGGGGCTGAAGAACCTACCACAATGACATGAAGCAGTGCTCCAATGAGTACATAAGCACAGCGGAGCTTTCAAGCCCTGATACTCAATCCCTTTGCCACAGCAACGATATTTTAAGTATAATGAAGGCTGCAACAGCATTCTTTGGGGATCATGATGGAATAAAAAAAGAAAAAGTAAGGCCGGGCCAGTGTGGCTCAGTGGTTGAGCGTCGACCCATGGACAGGATTCCTGAGGCAAACTCCCAAAGCAGGTCAGGGTCCAGCTACCAAGTCAAAGTGTGTCCTGTCCTTGGTCTGCTCTCAAAATGTATTTTCTTGCCCGGCTGGTGTAGCTCAGTGGTTGAGCATGGGCCTGTGCACCAAGAGGTCACTGGTTCGATTCCTGGTCAGGGCACATGCCCAGGTTGTGGGCCAAACCCAGTCGGGAGCATGCAGGAGGTGGCCAATCAATGTACTCTCTCATTGATGTTTCTATCTCTCCCTCTTCCTCTCTTTCTAAAATCAATAAAGAAAAAGAATACTGCCCTGGCCGGTTTGGCTCAGCGGTTAGAACTTCAGCCTGTGGTCCAGAGAGACCAGGGTTCGGTTCCCACTAAGGGCGCATACCTCAGTTGCAGTTTGTCCCCGGACCTGGTTGGTCGTGCAGGTGGCAGCCACTTGATGTGTCCCTTTCACATCGATGTTTCTCTCTCTCTCTCTTCTTCTCTCCCCCTTCCACTCTATCTGAACAAAAAATAGGAAAATGTACTTGGTTGAGGAGAAAAAGAAAAAAAATACTTAAAAAAAAAAGTATTTTTTTTTCTGAGTAATGGACCCATCTGGGCTCCACGGGTGTCTTATCTTAATACAAACCTGTTTTTCTTCTTGCAACACAAGAGGTCTTCACTGGTTCAATTCCCAGTAAGGGCACATGCCCAGGTTGTAGACCAATCCCCAGTGGGGGGCCTGCAGGAGGCAGCCAATCGATGTTCTCTCTCATCAATGTTTCTCTTTCTCTCTTTCTCCCTTCCTCTCTCTCTAAAATCAATAAAGAAAAAAAAATTTTTTTAAGTAAAAAAATAGAAAATTGAGATGTAACAGTTTGGTTTTCCATTAGAAAACTAACTTAAAAACAAACTAAAAAATTGTTTTAAACTCTTTAAAAGCAAAAGAAGATAAACATACACCCAAAAGAAGTGAACCTGACCATAAAATTTGCAAGTATTCAAAGCAACTTCACAATTAGCCTTTAGAAAAGAAAACATTTTAAAAAAATTTTAATTGATTTTAGAGAGAGGAAGGGAGAGAGAGAGAACATTGATTTTTGTTGCTTCACTTATTTATGCATCCATTGGTTGACTCTTGTTTGTGCCCTGACCAGGGATTGAACCCCCAGCCTTGATATATCTGGACAATGCTCTAATCAACTGAGCTACCCAGTCAGGGCAAGAAAATATTGTAATTAATAAAATGTCAAACATTGATTTAGTGTGTGGGAACCTCACTTGAATAGCTTGGGAAACTATTCTGTCTTTCTGGGGAGAATTTACACTGCATAAGAATACTAAAATTCAGGAGCAATATGGCCACCATCCTGCGTGGCTGCAACTCAGCAGAAGCTCTGAGCGCCCTCCAAATCCGCAGTGTCCCACACAGTTTCAGTCCAGTCTGCCCTCCCTCTGCCAGAGCCCAAGACAATGATGCCATGCTGGCCACAGCGCTACTTCCTGTGTTTACAGTGCAGCTAGAGAGATGAAAAGGACGCCCATGTCTCTTCTTGGGAATCAAAGGCACATGTTTTCCTTCTTGAGCTTCAACATAAACGGACTCAATCCTGCCACCCACTACAACGCGTTCATAGAGGTGGTGCTGGCGTACCCCAACCACTGGCGCTTCCAAGGGGGCAAGTGGGTGACCTGCGGCAAAGCCGACAATAACACGCAGGGCAACAAAATGTATGTCCACCCAGAATCTCCTAATACTGGTTCCCACTGGATGAGACAGATTTCCTTTGGGAAATTAAAACTCACCAATAACAAAGACGCCAAAAACAACAACACTCAGATGATAGTCCTCCAGTCTTTACACAAGTACCAACCACGACTGCACATTGTGGAAGTTACAGAGGATGGTGTGGAGGACTTGAACGAGCCCTCGAAGACTCAAACTTTTACCTTCTCAGAAACACAGTTCATTGCCGTGACTACCTACCAAAACACCTATATAACTCAACTAAAGATTGATCATAACCCCTTTGCAAAAGACTTCCGGGACAACTATGTACACTGCTTCAGAAAATGAAAGGTTAACTCCATCTCCCACGAATTCTCCTAGATCCCATCAGATTGTCCCTGGAGGTCGGTACGGCGTTCAGTCCTTCTTCCCGGAGCCCTCTGTCAACACTTTACCTCAAGCCCAATATAATAATGGCGAGAGAACCATGCCACAGACCAACGGCCTCCTTTCACCCCAACAGAACAAAGAGGTGGCCAACCCTCCCCAGCGGTGGCTTGTCACGCCTGTCCAGCAACCTAGGACCAACAAACTAGACATCGGTTCCTATGAGTCTGAACATACTTCCAGCACCTTGCTCCCATATAGTATTAAATCCTTGCCCCTCCAGACACCCCATGCCCTGGGGTATTACCCTGACCCAGCCTTCCCTGCAATGGCAGGGTGGGGAGGTCGAGGTTCTTATCAGAGGAAGATGTCGGCTGGACTCCCATGGACCTCCAGAACAAGCCCCTCTGTGTTCTCTGAAGATCAACTCTCTAAGGAGAAAGTCAAAGAAGAAATTAGCTCTTCTTGGATAGAGACTCCTCCTTCCATCAAGTCTCTGGATTCCAATGATTTGGGGATATACACCAGTGCTTGTAAGCGAAGGCGGCTGTCTCCCAGCACTCTAGTAATGAAAATTCTCCCTCCATAAAGTGTGAGGACATTAACGCTGAAGAATACAGTAAAGACACCTCAAAAGGCATGGGAGGGTATTATGCTTTTTACACAACTCCCTAAAGAGTTATTTTAACCTCATAAAAATGAGCTATTTGCAGATAAACTTGGTATTTTTTGTTGTCTTCTTTGCCTAGGTTGGCAAAAAGATGTTTGCCTTCCACCTTGATGCATCGTGTTCTGTGCAATTCTCTAAAAGAAGGTGCCAAAGCTTTTTGATTGCTGCAGGTAACTGAAACAAGCCTAGCATTTTCTTTTTCTTTCAAAATAAAGTTGATGGAGGACTTGGTAGTGTTTTAAAATTTGAAGGTCATTCAGGGTTCTGGATTTATTTATTGGAAACACTAAATGTACAGAGAATGGGGCTGTGAAGATAGGATGCTGAACGCTATCAATTGAGTTGAAAACTTTGGTTCTTTATTCTATTTTTAAATCTCTAAGCATATAGAAGCCCAGAATCGGTAAGGTATTTTGTTTCTAGAAAAGAAGGGCTGGTCCTTAAGCTTCAACAGGGGACTTTTTGCTAGGGACAGATGTTAGGCCTGGAAGGTGAGAACAACTTTTGTGAAGGCGTTGGTTTTACCTGCCTTTGGTTCCTCCCAGGCTTTCCGAGTAAGCCATGATTGCCTCGTTCGCTCTGCTCTGTGCTGGGGTGGCTCATAAGACTCAGGAGAGGACAAGGGAGGGAGTCACCCCCCAAATATAAAGAGAATTTTAAAGTGTACAGTTGTGTGTGCTTAGATACACTGTAGAATAACATGGAATATATAGTACAAATAGTCTACATAGGTGTCTGAGATTATGTGAAAGTGGTGCTTTGGCTTTGTAAAGAACTTGTAGATCACCTGGCAGCAGCTGCAAGGGCAGGGGGGTAGTTTCTCTCCTCATCCCAACCACATTTGGGAATATTCTGTTTACTTTTTAGGTAGTTAAGAATATATTCAGCTACTTTGTACTTAACTTGAAACATGTCTAAGGAAAACTCCTATTTCATCCTCTTCCTTTGCCACCCCCACTACCCAGCTTGGTAATGTAAAGACAGTAAAACCTGACGCCACAGCTCTTATAGGCTTTTTAGAGATCTTAGATTTTTATGTACAGTCTTAGTCATTTTTTAATACATGTTGCTCATTAAAAGAAAAAAAAAGAATACTAAAATTCAAATATTCACACAGTAGTCATTGCAATATAATGTCAAATAATGTTTAAAAGCTAATTTTTTTAAATCCTCACCCAAGGGTATTTTTCTATTCATCTTCAGATAGAGTGGGAGGGAGGGAGAGAGAGAAACATCAATGTGAGAGGGACACATCAACTGGTTGACCCCAACCAGGGCCAGGGCCAAACCGCAACCAAGGTATGAGCCCTTGACCAGAACTGAACCTGTGATCCATTGGTCTAGGGGCTGATGCTCTAACCGCTGAACCAAACTGGCCAGGGCTAAAGACTAGTTTTTTTTCCCTCTGACCTATGTTCTTCGAGCTTGAGGAAAAATAAAAGCATATTCCTAAACAAATGTTTGACTTTATGAAGGAATTTTGTCTTACTAATCCACACCTTAAAAATGTATTTGTTTTATAAACTTTTAATAATTTGATTAGCTACAGCTCATCACATCACAAAAGTATTCCACATTTCTTGTCTCATGAGAGTTTAAAAGAATATTTTTAAAAATTTTTCTTTATTCATATTAGTAGAGGGAGAGAAAGGGAGAGGGAGAAAGAGCTAGAAACATTGATGAGAGAGAACATCAATTGGCTGCCTCCTACATGCCCCCCACTGGGGATCGGTCCCACACCCTGGGCATGTGCCCTGACCAGGAATCGAACAGGTGCATGGGTTGACGCTCAACCACTGAGCCACACTGGCTGAGTTAGAATATTTTAAATTTTGTATCTTCAAGGCACTGTATTTCAAGAGCTTACTCTAAAAACTGACAAGTCTTCTTCCAATTAAGGATTTGCTCACTTGGGGTGTTTGATCAGCTTGTGGTATTTCTGAGCAAGGTCAACAGACTTCCGTCCTTGTTGAAAGGGAAAAGACCACAAAATTAAATTCCAGTGATTTCCCATTTTCTTAACTCCACTGAAAAGGTAATTTACTTCTTCTTCAGTAAAGTTTTTACGAATTTTTCTTTTTTCTGTAATGAGAATTAGAGAATATATTAGTGCCTCCTAAAAAAAAATCTTCTTGAGACCCAAATAAGTGCTTAACTTATTCTAAAGAACTATATAATGAGAAAACATCACGTCTGAGCTACGCATCACATAGAAATCCATTTCAATTTTCAAAAACTAGGTGTCTTCTATTAAGCTAGATATTATCACTGTGACTTCTTCAATAATTGTAACTTTATCATATTGTAATAATACTTGCAACATCTTTTAATCAAGAAGCACAATAGTTGCCCTGGCCGGTTTGGCTCAGCGGTTAGAGCGTCGGCCTGCGGTCCGGAGAGATCTGGGTTCGGTTCCCGCTAAGGGCATGTACCTCTCTTGCAGTTTGTCCCCGGCCCTGGTTGGTCGTGTGGGTGGCAGCCACTCGATGTGTCCCTTTCACATTGATGTTTCTCTCTCTCTCTCTCCCTCCTGCTCTATCTGAACAAAGAATGAAAAAGTGTCCTCGGGTGAGGATAAAAAAAAAATAGCCCTGGCCAGTTTGGCTCAGCGGTTAGAGCGTCGGCCTGCAGTCCGGAGAGACCCGGGTTCGGTTCCCACTAAGGGCACGTACTTCAGTTGCAGTTTGTTCCCGGCCCTGGCTGGTCGTGCGGGTGGCAGCCACTCAATGTGTCCCTTCACGTCGATGTTTCTCTCTCTCTCTCCCTCCCACTCTATCTGTACAAAAAAAATAAAAAATAAAAAACTTTACCTTTAAAAAAAAAAAAGAAGAAGCACAAGAGTTTACAAACATTTATTGTTAATTCTCTCCACAATCCTGTGAGGACAGTTAACAAACTGCTTACCTATCTTACAGATAGAGTCTTCCCAAAGGGCTCCATAACTTCATAGAATAGAAAAGAATATCAACACTTGTTATTTTAATTATCAGTCTTGATTAATATTTTTAAAGAATAAAGGTCTTTTGAAATTTGCTTCAAAAAACAAATTCACTACCTATATGGATGCTCAGCTTGTTAAAACTTAAAAAAAATAAAGACTGTAAAAGGGAGAAGGAAACTTTTATCTATCTGATTTTTAGGGATACTACAAAAGAAAGAATGTATAGTTAGTATCTGTAAACACAAATATCTTCTGGTAATGATTACTAAGAAATAGTTCTTTGAAGCTTTTTCATTCATTGCTAATTCATGTTATTGTATATAGATGCTGATGAGGATGATTTTTTTTTTTTTTTTGTATATTCAGTTAAAGCTGCTATTTACTTTAGTAGGACCTGGAAAACCCTTAGAAAATCTTGTCCTGGTATGTCAAGACTGTTAGCTATTTCTACACCTCTCCTGGGATAGGAACCACAGTTCAGATCTTTTAAAAGACAAACAAAAATCTTACCAGCAGAAGGCTGATAAATACATGAAAATAATGTCTGATTATGACTTACTGGTCTTACTTAGAATGCAAGATCCATGAAGATGGAATTTTTGTCTGTTTTGCTCTCCATTGTATCCCGAGAGTCTAAAACAGTGTCTGACCCATAATAGATGATCAATAAATATTTGTTGAAAGAAAAAAGTTATTAATGGTAAAAAAAAAAAAAATGTTTTAAAGCTTATCAATTAAATTACTCCTTACTGCCCTGGCTGGTTTGGCTCAGGGGTTAGAGCATCGGCCTGCGGTCCGGAGAGACCTAGGTCCGGTTCCCGCTAAGGGCACATACCTCGGTTGCAGTTTGTCCCCGGCCCTGGTTGGGTCGTGTGGGTGGTAACCACTCGATGTGTCCCTTTCACGTCGATGTTTCTCTCTCTCTCTCTCCCTCCCACTCTATCGGAACAAAATATCGAAAAATGTCCTCGGGTGAGGATAAATAAATAAATAAATCACTCCTTACTTTTGGGTCTACTAGAAAACTGGTTATCTAAGAAATAAATGAAATAAATGATTTCAGTTTCACTTGCTAAGTGATTTGAACTCATTGTAATCAGTATTGGATGGGTTATTATGACATTCAGGATATTAGAGTATAGAGTTGTTCATGTAAAGCCAATCCCCACTTTTCCATTGCAGCTGTCATCTCATTGACTCCTGCACTTAACATCTGTGCCCAATTCCTCAAAGGTTACTGCAGCAGAGTAGTAGACAGCCTAGAAGGAAGAAGCATCTCTGTACAACACAAGGCTCCCCTCTGTGGCTTCTTCATTGCTCCTCTTGATATTGACTGGGCATTAGGAAAGAGCAGGGAAAATAGGCAAGAAGGCTCAGTTTTAGAGACTCTTATTGTTCAAATCCCCTTAAGATACCAATCCATCTCAAAAAAGTCTTGTCCCTGAGGCTCTTTAAATTTTTAAAAAATTGATTTGAGAGAGAGAAAGGAAGAGAGAGGTTGGAAGGGAGAGGCAGAGAGATAGGGAGGTAGGGAGAGGTGGGGAGAGGAAGGGAGGGAAGGAGGGAGGGAGGGAGAGAGAGAGAGAGAGAGAGGAAAAAGATTAATTTATTGTTTGACTTATTTATGTATTCATTAGTTGCTTCTTGTATGTACCCTGACAACCTTGGTATATGAGGACAATGCTCTAACCAACTGAGCTACCTGGCCAGGGCTCTGCAGTTTTTTCTTTATTTTTTCTTTATTGATTTTTAGAGAGAGGGAAGGGAGAGGAAGAGAAAGATAGAAACATCAATGAGAGAGAACATCGATTGGCCGCCTCCTACATGCCCCCCCCCCCTGCTGGCGATTGGGCCCACAACCTGGGCATGTGCCCTGACTGGGAATCGAACTGGCAACCTCTTGGTGCATAGGTCAATGCTCAACCACTAAGCCACCAACCGGGCCCCTGAGGCTCTTTAAATGCTTTGATACTGCAATGCTCCCATCTCAAAAGAATCATTTCAAATTTGGGTGTAACATATACCCAACTGAGTGGTGACAACTATTTCTAACACAAAAGAGAA